TCTCTCTCTCTCTCTCTCTCTCTCTCTCTCCTGCAACATACACTACCACCTTGCTATTATCAGCCCGCTGTTGAGTGATTCTGGTTTTTTTGGGGGGGTTTTTCACACACAAATTCTTCAAAACTCCTCATCAACAAAAACACCCCATGTTGCGAAATACGATTTTCAACAAAACTCCACAGTCACCCACAGACGCCTTCAGCCAACCACAGACAGCCACAGTCACCCATATAATATACAGCCACAGGCACCCATATAATATACAGCCACAGGCACCCATATAATATACAGCCACAGGCATACAGCCACAAATACCTACAGACGCCCACAAACACCCACATACACCCACATACACCAACGTAGACCTGCCAACTGCCAACCCCCACAAGAAAAGCAAACATTCTTTTGCAGCAAAAGTTCTAATACAGCAAACATTCTTTCGTCCATTAATCCAATTACCTGACACTTCCTTGCTATACTGACCTCGATGTCAACAATTCAGGACTTATAGTCATCGCTTTTTACAAAGATAAGGGTAAACCCAGGTAGTGCCCCATTTAAAGAAACCTCCCGGTGTCAATGGTAGTCCCAACACTGAGTGTTCAAAGCAATATTTGCTCGTGCTTTTTCTCCAGATCACTTCACTTCTGTCACGCTTTGGAGAACCCACTTAAAAAGACAAGATGGGGAGTATTTCAAAACTTTGCTTAACCCAGAGAACAAAATACGCTGGGTAGACAAACGTGTGCCTCTGCAAAAAAAGACTTCATGTTGGTCTTCAAAATATGCGTAATCCATGCAAGGTTTGCACAGGAGAGTGCTTCAAAGAGCTTGAATAGCCATCTCTTTGGTCGGGGGTCAACTTTCTGAAGACCTTACGTTGTCGCCGGATTCTGATCTTTGCTCTCTTTAACCCAAGTGTTTTATCACTTAAATGTTAGGGAAACTATGATGCTACTATCAAGGGGAAGGTCACTTGGAACCTGGAGAAGAGTCACTGAATGATATGCAGAAAAGTGGGAAGACATGGAAAAATATCAAGAGTCTATCCCAGGATAGGGTAATGCAATGTGGAAAGTGTTTGTTGTGCTCTGCAACCAGACGCAGAGTAAGGCAGTGATGATGATGATGCTAAAATACTAAATGCTTATCCTCCTAGAAACAAAGCAGGGAAACCACTCGGCCCCATGAAGGAAGTGATTTTTTTTAAACCACAAAACCACAAAAAAAAAAACAAAACAACACTCCCCCAACCTAT